GAATTTTTCGGAGTATTCTCTTATAATCCGTTGTATTTCTGCAGCATCTTTTGTTATTTCTCTTCTTTCATTTCTGCTTTTTTTTCCTTGCTATTAGCTTGAAGTATTGTCCTCCACCCCTTCAGTCTGAGCCTGTGTTTGTCCTTGGGGCTGAGGTGTGTTTCCTGGAGGCAACAAATTGTTGGATCTTGTTCTTTAATCCATTTTGCCACTCTGTGTCTTTTTATTGGAGAGTTCAATCCGTTTACATTGAGAGTGATTATTGATGCATGTGGACTTAAAGCTGTCAATCTGTTGCTCATTATCTGGCTTTCCTGCTTTTCTCTTCCTGTTTGCTTTATCCTACCCATTTGATACTGCAATTTCTTATGCTGGGTTTCTTAGATTTTTGCTTATTTATGTTTTGTGGCTCTGTTCTGTTGTTTAGTTTAGTGTCTACCCTGAAGTTTGTATTTAGAATCTCGTATATAATATAGTCTATTCTCTGGTGGTCTCTTACTTACTTGGCCTAGACTAATTTAGTCCCTTTGCTCTTCCCTTCCTAAATTATTATTTTCACTTCTTGTTCCAATTTGAGTTATGAGTTTGTAGTTAGAGTGATAAGATCGTCTTTGCTTTGGTAGTTTCCTTACCTTTATCCTATTGCTGTAGTTGAATATTTGCTATCCTATTCTGGTTCTATCTATCTGTCTCCCTTCTCTGTGGTTTGTGACCCCTTTCTCCCTTTTTTCTTTTTTCAGATATGAGAGCCTTCTTGAGGATTTCTTGTAGTGGAGGACTTTTGGTTACAAATTATCTTAACTTTTGTTTGTCTGGAAAAGATTTAATTTCTCCCTCATATCTGAAGGATATTCTTGCTGGATAGAGTATTCTTGGCTGAAGATTTTTATCTTTTAAAGCTTTGAATATGTCACTTCATTCTCTCCTAGCTTGTAAGGTTTCTGCAGAGAAATCCGCTGAAAGTCTGATAGAAGCTCCTTTGTAGGTTATTCTCTTTTGTCTTGCTTCCCTGAGTATTCTTTCTTTGTCATTCATTTTTGCCATTTGTACTACTATATGTCTTGCAGTAGGTCTTCTTACATTGACAAATCTAGGAGATCTGAAAGCTTCCTCTACACACATTTCTCCCTCAATCCCTAGATTTGGGAAGTTCTTTTCTATAATTTCATTAAGCACACTTTCTGCTCCATTTTCATTTTCCACGTTCTCGGAAATTCCTGTGATCCTTAAAATTCTTTCTCCTCATTGAATCTGCTATCTCTCTAATACTTTCCTCATTCCTTTTAATCCTTAGTTCTCTTTCTTCCTCTGTCTGGAGCCATTCAGCCTGTCTAACTTCAATTATGCTAATTTGCTCTTCTATGGAGTCTACCTGGGCATTCAGGGAATCCATATTGTGTTTTATCTGTTCCATTGTGTTTTTCATCTCTAGTAATTCTGTTTGATTCTTCTTTATAATTTCAATCTCTTTTGTGAAGTAACTCCAGAACTCGGCTTGTTTCTCTATCTTTCTCTCTACCTCATTGAGTTTTTTGGTTATAGCTGCTCTGAAGTCATTATCACTTAGTTTACCTATTTCCAAGTCCTCAGGACTTAATTCTGTGTTTTTATTGTTTTCCTTCTGGTCTGTGGCTTTTATAAATTGCTGGATGGTAGAGGAGCGGTTTTTTCACATGGTGGTAGAATTTGGTTGCAGTTGCAGCCTCCTCGCCACTAGATTGGGGTCGAGTGCCATGCGTTCTGAGCTCTCTGCCTTCGGGCAAGATGGCGGCACCCAGTGCGCTTTGCTGGGGCGGGGGCAGTTTCTCTCGCGCACCAATCTGGATTCGATCACTTCTGTTCTCTGGTCTCCCAGGGCCCTGGGTTTATGGGGTACCTGTGCACGGAAGCTTTCCCCTGTCAGCGGGTTTCCACTGTACTGGCGGTGGGAGTCCTAGACAATCCCCTGGTCGTGCGGCCCCTCCCCCACTCCTTCCCGTACCCGCGCGGCGATCCTGGTTTCTAGGGGATGGAGTGATGTTCTCTCCTACCTGGTTCCAGCTCCTCCGAGGTGGGCAGCAGGGGCTCTGTCCTCTGTCTTTTGATATTGTAGGTCTCTGAGTCCTGGCGTTAGGTTCATTAGCTGAAATTCAGGGGTTTTTTTCAGTCCTTTGTTGTACTTTGGAGGGGAGACAGTCCCGGGTCAGCTCACCCTGCCATTTTGCTCTGCCTCCAATCTGGTTATTTCTTAAAGTGAGTGATTGTAAATATGGTGTGGATAAGTGGGGGATGGGGAGGTGGTTAGATAATGTGATGAGAGCTGTTGTTTACCTTAAAAAAGTATTGGGGTTAATCATTTATATTTTTGTCTTCCCTACTAGATTGTATACTCTGTAAGGACAGAAACTATATTTACTTTTTCTCTTTGTCCCCACAGTACCTGCCATAATACACTTTATCTGTATCTCTCAATGGTTACAACTTTGTGCTTTTTCTGCCTGTCTTAGACTTTTCCATTTGCGGTCAGAATTTATGTCTGATTAATTTCTGTGTGTTTGTGACTTATAAATGATTGATACTCAGTAAATGGATTGAATGAATGACTTGAATAGTCTCCAGAGATCAGCATTCATAAGAATAAAACAACTGTTAGGTTTGCTTACCTCTAGAAATCTGTAAGTGGAAGGAACATCAGGGTTTATGTAAGTCTAGCTCTTCATTTTTCCAATAAAGTAACTGATACCAAAGGTTGCGAGACTGATAGTCAGAAACACGAATGGCAGAGGTCGAGTTAGAACCCAGCAAGATCTCTTGCTTATCATGCCTTTTCCTTTCTTTTATTTAATTGTGATATTTTTCTTCCTTAGATAATAGAAAAAGAGAGAGAAAAGTTGATAATGAGCTTGAAAAGAATATTTATTTTCTACTGTCTGTCTGTAGTTTGATTCTATATTGTCTAGTCAGTTTATTTAGGGTGCACATAGCATTTCCTCCTTGATCATTACCACAACTCAGGTCAAATATAATTTTCTCAAAATTCTCTAAACAATAAAATTTAAAATTAAAAAATCAGATTTAAAAAAATTTCCTGTAGATTATAATCCACCCTACGTTTACATAATAGATTGATGTATGGATTACTTTGGTATTCATTAATTTATTTGGATGCTGATGATAGTCTTGAGTTATGTAGGCCGTGAATTAGAAATTGTTGGCATTTTACACATGAAAAAATTGAGGCTATATCACTTGACTGTGACCACCCAGTGAGTAAATTATGAGGCAGAGTCTAAGCCCAAATGATTTAAAGGCATTTTCAATACTCTTTCCACTGTGGTAAGCTAAAGTCCCTTTAGATATACACATTTTTAGAAATAGCTCATTGTTGAAGTACAGTTATCAATAACCACTATTCAGCTGCTCTTTACATCATTTCCTTTTTGTCCTCTTGTGTACAACTAACTATAAGGTGTTCAGTCAGCACATATTTGAGTGCTGCTAAGTAGTTGGTTAGCATTGTGCTGGATGCTTTAATGCAGTTTCACCTGGGTAGTACGTTGTGATCCAGCCTACGTAAAATATGGTAATAGTGAGTACTAGGCATATATTTTAATAAGACTTACAGTTAAAAAAGTGGTTCTAATTAAGAGCATATAGTGGAAAAGCACATTTCATATTCTGTTGAGTAACTGGAAAACAAAGTCGTCTATCTAAATCAATTTTGTCTTTTAGAAGTAATTTGTCTTGTTAAAATGGAAAATAGGAGATTTAGAACTGTGTGTAAGCTGCTTAATGAAAACTTGACCTTTATTTGTAGCATTATGGTTACTTTATATATGTCTAAGATTAAGCCAAAGAATTAAAAAAAAAATAGATTTCTCTAATTCTAAATATGCAGAGACAACTGTTGTTAATGATACCAAACCTCTTAATCTCAAGTTCCTGTGCCCGATGCAAGTAAGCCAAACACTGAGACATCAGTGCTTGGAGATGGAGAAAGTTTTATTCAAATTGGCCAAAATGAGTAGGTGAGAGCCTGGGTTTGTTCAAATCCACCTTCCCAAGAACAGAACGCAGAGGGGTTTTATGGAGCTAAGGGGCTTGGCAGGAAGAGCTCCGGGGAGAGAAAGGGGTCACTCCCGATAAGCCCCTGGGCAGTCTGACTTCTGGGCTTCAGTGGTTGCTGAGGGCCAGCCATCTGGTAATTGGTCATCGCCATCTCCCCAGACATTCTCTTTCTTCTGCAAAACAAGCTCACAACTCCTTGAGACTCCTGAGTCACCCCTCAAATTAAACAGGAAATAGCAGTGGTTTAATATCTACAGTACCCCTCAGGTACCCAGCTTCATTAACATCTTGGTAGATATCTTTTCACATTTCTTGCTCTGTGTATATAATTCTGTAAATAGAATATATATAACTCCATAAATAAAGTTTGCAGAATTATAAACTATATATATAATTATATATTTATAGTTATATAAATAAAATTAATTCATCTGTGTAACTTTTTTCATTCAGTAATATTATGAAAATCCTTCAATGTAAGTAACTGTTAGGTCTGTATGATCATGTAAACTGGCAGCATGCTAAGGTGTTTTCATAATTTATTAATCTTTCCAAATGGTGGACATTTGTTTAAAATGTTTTATTACAGAATAAATTTTAAAACTGTCTTGCAACTTGAGAAATTTCTGAGGTTATCAGGATATTTATTTACATCAAAATAAATTTGATACTACTTTTTATGTAATCTGTTGACACTACTTTGAATTTACAATAATCATAATTTCTGTTCTTGCTTTACCAACTCTCTCTTATGTGAAACATTTTGCACCAGAGTAAAGTTATCTACTAAGTGGAAAATGTTTGGATAGCTGTATTTTTTAAAATACAGATTTTGAAAGGTAATAGTGTTCAACAGCAAATTTATAGTATTTTGAAGAAATTAGACATGATGATTTGATACCTTGATATTTATTCAGTATTGAAATATTTAAATGTGTATTTGTTTTAAACAGATTATCTTTCTCAAGGAAGAGATCTCTCTGGAATAGAAGTAATAGAAAATGATCTACTTTTTATTGCAAGAGCTCGACTTGAAGTGGAAAATCAAGCTAAGCGCCTACTGGAGCAGGGTGTGGAGACTCAGGTAATAAAAATAATGTCATTTTTTAATATGAAAAATATGTCATAATACAGATGAACATTTGACTTTGAGGTTGAAAAAGTAATGTGTGTCCTCATTTTATCACTGAGGAACTATGTCTACAATTTGAATTGGAGAGTAGGACATAAAGTAAATACAGGGAAATTTTCCTTAATATATATTTATTTAATTCTACTAAGACTAGGTTCTAAGATTCCTAGTGTATAATGTATTTGTGTAATATGAAATATATTTTTATATAACGTGTATGTGTAGATAGATAGTTAATACCTGGTGAGTATGCTCACTTTGTATAAGGCACTGTTACTCATTTGAGTTAATACCTGGTGAGTATGCTTACTTTGTATAAGGCACTGTTACTCATTTGAGTTAATACCTGGTGAGTATGCTCACTTTGTATAAGGCACTGTTACTCATTTGAGTTAATACCTGGTGAGTATGCTTACTTTGTATAAGGCACTGTTACTCATTTGAGTTAATACCTGGTGAGTATGCTCACTTTGTGTAAGGCACTGTTACTCATTTGAGTTAATACCTGGTGAGTATGCTCACTTTGTATAAGGCACTGTTACTCATTTGAGTTAATACCTGGTGAGTATGCTCACTTTGTGTAAGGCACTGTTACTCATTTGAGTTAATACCTGGTGAGTATGCTCACTTTGTGTAAGGCACTGTTACTCATTTGAGTTAATACCTGGTGAGTATGCTCACTTTGTGTAAGGCACTGTTACTCATTTGAGCCTTTCAGCAACCCGATAAAGTTGGTATTATTGTTATTTCCATTTTACAGATGGGAAAACTGAGAGCTAAAATAACTTGTGGAAGATCACACAGCTAGTAAATGGTATAATTTGATTCTAAATGTTAACCACTCTAACCTCAGAACCTTGCACGCTTAGTAATCACTGTGCCATAATTTAAAAAAAAAAATTTTACTTGAGATTTTCTCCTAAGTTATCATTTTATGATACTTAATTTTCTGAATTAGAAGAAACTGAAACATATTGATCTAGCAGAATCAACAAATTAGATGTCAATCTCAGTTCTCCTACGTTTGTATTACACCCAGATATTTTCTCCATTTGTATTGGACCCAAATACAATCATTAATATCCATTTTTTAACTCGTAGCCGTTAAGCCAGGAATTTCATTTTGTGCATTTGTATTAAGAATAATTTTATAAATATTCAGCTTTTTAAGTAGTCTCTAAATCAGAAAGTTACTTATTTGACTTCTGAATCTTGTTATAATTTAAAAAATATAATGGAATGTCAGTTACCCTTTTAAATAAACTTTTAAAGTTGATTATTATATATGTAATGAAAACTGAGCAAATCCATAGACATACATATAGAATGAAATACCACAATGTACACACATCTGTGAGATCAAAACTCGGGTCAAGAAATAGGACACTGCCGGCACTCCTGGAGTCTGTTCATTCTCTCTCACAGCCTCTACTCGCTCCTTCTTTCCCAAAGGCAACTATTATCCTAACTTCCAACACTGGAGATTAGTTTCATTTGCTCCCTATTCTGTTTTCACTCTAGGTCTCACTATGAAGATAAAACACTTATACTGTTAAAAAATAAAATACTTGTCTATCAAATAAGAGAAGATATCTTCTTCTCAAAGAAATATTTAAGGAATTTTAAGTCAACTTTGAATTAAGATGAATATTTGTATAAAAAGTTGATATCAGCCCAGCTCATTTAGTTGCAAGAAAGTTAGCAATTAACATGTCAGAAAGTGCAATATCACAAGCCTTTTATATTTGTCTAATGCCCATATTATCACTCTATCAGATTTAAAACTTTGTGTATAGATACTATTTAAAAATTTTTACTTGTAAAGTGTTTATTGCTGTGTATGTATGTATGTACATGCATGCATATATCTTTAATTTATGCAATTTTTAATGTTTTACTATATTTTGGAGTCATGAGAATGAAACCAAAAGTGGTAGAAAGGAAACAGTACCAAAGTTTATAGAACTGAAATACTATTTTTTAATAGAGATGGGTGATTTTAACATGTTACAAAGGAATGGTTACTTGTGAAGTCTTATTTTCTATTGTATTCTCATTTATTTAAAGTGGGAAAGTATTTTCTATGGCAGTTGTTTCTAAGTAAACTTTATTTTAGATATGTTGTTTGTGTACATTTTAATAGTTGTCATTTGACTTTGCTTCAGTTTTTAAATCATTAAAATTAAAGTAGGACTGATAAACTTTTAGGAAATATTTCAAAAATATTGATAGAGTTATTATATATTCAGACTGTGTAAAGTTAATCAAAGATTATTAAAGTAGATAACTATTGTTGTTTAGCCAATGACCTGTGTCTAATCAATGAGATTAAGTTAGAAAGATAAGAAGAAAAAAATGTAAAAATGTGTGTCTACGTGGTTAGATGTAGAATGATCTGCATGGATCTTTGAAAAACAGGAACCAGAGAGCTATAATTTTGTTGTATGTCTCAGCGTAGTTCAGAGGAGGGTAGATTCTGCTTTGTGGATGGGAGTAGTGTCTCTTTGTAAGGCTGTGTGGATCAAATTATCATAGTTTGTTGACATTAGCTATTAATATTATCCAATTAATTTGTCTTGTTTAGATTCTGTATGTATTATACCTTCTGAGTATAATTTGGCTTCCTACATGATTTTCCTGAAGGGAGAAATTGTACGGATTGCCCATATTAACATTCTGGTTCATTTCACAATTTTTAAAATATTTCTCACGTGTAAATTGATATTCGTGTTTATAATATCATTTATTTCAGAATTTAGTCATGTATGTCCATCTCCCTTAGACCTGGGTCCTCTGGATTGTTTTCGTGAAGTCAGGTATTCTGGCTTTGGTTGCAGAGCTGAGAAGATCAAACCCTTATCAGTAATGCTGGCACTGAGATAATCCTTGTTGGGAAGCAGGCTGTCTTCCTGGAAAGAGCTTGTGTTTTGGAGCCTCCTTCCTTCTCCCCTTAGAAAGCAACGAGACAGGTGTCATCCAGCTGTGTCAGTAGGCAGTTTGGGAATTGAGAATGAAATTGACCTTTGTTGACTGTGTATTCTTTGCCAGCATTTGTGTTAGTCACTTTACATTTGTTATCTCAATTGCAATGACAAATATGTGAGGAAGATATAATTACCCACTTTTGATAGTTAGGGAAACAAAGGCCTGGAAAGGTTAGGAAATTAGCTGAAGATTACACAGCCAGCAGTGGCAGAGTCATGGTCTGGAGTCCCTGCTTCCCTCCTTTCTTTAATAAGACCAGTTTATTCTGGTTTTGTTAAATAATTACATTTTAAATTATTTGACAATTTGTGAAACAATTTATTTTGAAAAAGGAATTTTTAAGGCATAAAAATTTCTTTGGGAATCCTCCATGTGATGACTAATTTAAAACTCATTCCTCAGAATTTTTATGTTCTCTAGCCAACTTCTTTTTTCTGTTCTCTGAATTTACTATTTTAGATTTTCTACACTTTCCATCAACCTCCCTGTCTCGCCCCATAGCCCGTTTTACTCTGAGCACATGCCCTTAATTTTTATTCACAGAGGCACCTCTAGCACCACCTGTGCTCTGGATCCCATTTTATTAGGAACCTTATCTTGTTGGTATTTGCAGCTGTCATTTCTATCTTCATCCTCTCTCTTTTATTCTTTCCCTTCTAATCAGCATTTAAACATGCATATTTTATGCCACTCTCCTGTGTTCTCTGCTTTTCAGCCTCACAAGCTTTCCTTTAGTTTTTCACACGCCCATTTTCCTTCCTTCTTTAGGGCTTTCGTGTTCTTTTTATGCCCAGAATACTCTTTTTACTTCCTATTAAAACAGATGCTACAGCTTATATCTATTTTATTGTCAGATTATATTCTCTCATTTATCAGAAATCATTGCAATAGTTAATACGTTATTAATATTTATTATAAATATAGACTAAAAGAATTACAGCATTTTAATCTTGAAGTACTGTTGCATTCATGAAATATGCATACTTAAGTAGTTTTTGAGCTCATAACCTGAATAGAGAAGTTCATTAAACAAGGAACCTTTGAATAAGTTCATGTCATCACAATAATCAACTTCTGACACTAATTTGGTTTCTCAGAAATGTCAGTGATCTTCTTTTATTGAGCGTGTAGTTGATGGGCATCATTTTCAATATGAGTTAATTGTAAACCTTTAGTAAAAGAAAATTAGTGCAATTTCTTGTTTAGCATTTTTTCCCCAAAACCAAAATTGTTTTAGTAAATGCAGGTAACTTCTCTTTCATCATTACTGTTCTTTTTCCTAGTTAATTGCTCAAATGTGCTGTATTCATTTGTAAGTTTTAAATAGCTTTGTGGCATTACAGAGTCTCTACTACAGTATGACAGAGTTTCTGTTTTCAAAGACTACTAAATGACTACTTAGACACTGAGGGACTCTTGTTTCTTCCTACATAAAAATATATGTATGTTGGGGCTGGCTCTGTGGCCAAGTGGTTAAGTTCGCGTGCTCCGCTGCGGCAGCCCAGGGTTTGGATCCTGGGCACGGACATAGCACCGCTCGTCAGGCCACGTTAAGGCGGCGTCCCACATCCCACAACTGGAAGGACCCACAACTAAGATATACAACTATGTATGGGGGGGTTGGGGAGATAAAGCAGGGAAAGAAAAAAAAAAAGATTGGCAACAAGTTGTTAGCCCAGGTGACAATCTTTAAAGAAAAAAAAAAAAATATATATATATGTTAAACTTCTGACCTTTCAAAAGCTGTATTATTTCATAGTGACGTCAGTACTACTTTCTTTACAGAAAGTTTAGGAGGATTGATGACTTTAGAGTATATCTTCGGGTGCAGCATAGCGTATCACCACATTAGAAAAAAGATTCTTCAGTTCATCTGGCAGTCTTTGTCACAAACTGGGGCTAGATATGGCGACCATCTGCACTTCTCCTTTACTCCTATTTCTTTCTCTCTCTCTCTTTTCTACTGA